TCGACGACGTGGGCTGGGGAGTCGGGTAGTACTTCAGCTGCTTGGGGAAGGTGGGCGAGTCCTCTTCGAACTTGCGTTTCGAGGATGTTGGGCGCGGAAAGGGCGACGAAGAGAATGGCCCATCTTCGCCGAAGGCCGGAAGAAGCGTTGGGGTGGGCTTCCGAACATGGCCCGACTGCATCTCTGTCGACTCGATGAGGGAGTGCGGCATCGCCTTGCTGGGTGAAAAGTCCATTTCGTGTGGGGAGCTCCTAAGACGCGGTGCTGCTGGCGTGTCGAGGTCTATTGGGTAAGGTGGACGTGTCTCGAAGGAGACAGGCAGGCCGGCGGCTGCAGAAGGAGTGTTGGGAACGCGAAGATTGACACGAGGCGGTATGGGAAAAGAAAGACGTAGGTTAGGAGGAGGAGGCCATGAGGTCAATTGCGAAACTACGGGTCACGAACGCGATCATGGAAGACGTCGCGACACGCGGGTGTGGGTTGGCTAGCGTGATGAAGCTAGGACCGTCGTAAGAACCAGCACCCGAGTTCACCACGCATTCCGCCCTTGCAATACGTCTTTTGTAACATGCTTTCAGATACAAGATGCCCTGCGTGTCTCAGCTAGTCCGGTTGCATTCTTTTCCAGGCTTTTGCAGCGCTTCTTCGCTATACATATCCCGAAGTTCAGTCACGTCGGCCACATCCGTTCACCAGCCTCTGTGCACGAGCACAATTATTACGCCTATGACATACATTCTGCCCTCGGCTGCTACTTTAACTTGGTTTTCTCCGCTCTGCCAGCCCCTCTGCACTGCAGCCAATTCCACATTAATCTGCAATCATTGGTAATATCTACGCGCTGACACGAAATCTTTCACACCTCCTGCTGCCTTAATGGCATACAAGTTGGTTATAGTAAACCTCACAACGACGTGAAGTGAAGTGAATATTCCAAAAGCAATCTACACGCAGGCACTCAACGCGTACCGAGATCTTGATGTACTACGCGTTCTTGGGCAGCGATCGAATGGACCCACAGCCGTACGCCAATATCCAGATACAGGCAAACGTCACGCAGGTGAAAAGAAAAACTTTGTGCAGCAATCGATGCAGCTAACGCGAGAGCAAACACGTTCGTAACCAAAGTGGAGCGGTAGGGCCGACGGACGCGCGACAGTGGTATAGACGCGTCGTGAAAGATGGCCAGGCGAGCGCACGGTGATGGCGTTTCGGCTGGACCGTGTTCGGACTGGCTTCGATCAATCGATAACGAACACTTTTGTCTCGTGTAGGCACTCCAATATAGAGTTGATAACTGCTGCCGCGTCCACGAAACCTTAATTGGTCCAGTCTACGATGGTGTGAATATCTCGCATCCATTTTTCTGTGACGGGCCAAGATGATGGCAGCTTGTATATTGTACCCCTATACCTCATTAACGCGCTGCTCATGAAACAGCTGACGGCATGGGGACAAGGACTGAAATTGAAATCCATCGGCTGGTGACATTGCAAGGGTGAATAGCCTGTCGTGTGCTTGAGGATACTGCGACGCGACGATTGGCTCTGAGGAGCCCCGCATTCGACTTCGGGGCTTCGGAGAAACTGTGGCGCCGGCAAAAAGTTCGAAGGAAAGTTGGGACAAGGGTCTAGCCCAGAATTTCCAGCGACCAGCAACATCGCACCATATCACCGCAACAATGGCCAAATCCAAGACTCTTTCCAAGAAGGTTGAGAAGGCGACCGAGGCGCCGCTCACTACCAAAGCCACGAATGGCACGCCCTACCAGCTCGACCCGTCGCAAGTCGAGCGCGCGGCGAAGGCGCTCGTTGCGCACATGAAGAAACACGTCGAGGACAAGAAGGAGGACGCACCCAAGAAGAGCTTGGCGGCTGATGAGGACGAGGCGGAGGAGGTCGACGAACCCATCTTTCTCAGTCTGGCGACGAAGAAGCAGATTGGTAACACCAAGAGCATGAAGCCTCTGGCAATGTATGTTCGCGCATCGCAGCGCTTGCGCCACATCGCTAATATATATCAGCAAGCTACCCCATCCCATCATTGCAAGCGCTGTACGGATATGCATCTTCACCAAAGACCCGCAAAGAGCGTACAAGGACCTCGTCGCATCCGACGCTTTCCCGGCCACCCTTCGCGGAAAGGTGCAGCGTGTGCTCGGTGTAGACAAGCTAAAGAAGCGATACAAGGCATTCGAGCAGAAGCGCGCGCTTCTTGCCGAGTACGACGTTTTCATGGTCGACGATCGAATCATTAAGATTGTCGCAGAGTGCCTAGGCAAAGTCTTCTACAAGAGCAAGTCAAAGCGCCCAATTCCAATCCGCCTTACTGCTGGCGCATACATCGACAAGAGCGCAAAGAAGGACAAGGATGCGAAGGAGTCCCAGAATGTGGTCGGCACACCGCAAGGTGTAGCAAAGGAGATTGAGTCTGCTCTCAACTCGACCTACCTCAGCATGAGCCCCTCCGCCAACACATCTATCAAGGTCGCCAACCTCTCCATGACCCCTCAACAGATTACGGAGAACACTGCCGCTGTCGTGTCCGAAGTCGTTAATAAGCACGTCGGCCAGGGCTGGCGCAACATCCGCAGTCTGCACGTCAAAGGTCCCGCGACCAAGGCCCTGCCCATCTGGCTCGCAGACGAACTATGGACTGAGTCTGAGCAAATCCTTGAAGGACCGTACCACAAGGCCATCACAGAGGGCACACCAAAGGGCAAGTCTGCAGAGCGCAAGAGGAAGTGGGATGAGTGGGAGGAGGAGATGCTCGACGATGAAGAGCTCGCTGCGAAGCAGGCCAGGAGAGAGGCCAAGAAGGCCAAGAAGACAGAGAAGAAGAGCTCCATCAGCAAGGAGAAGCGGAAAGCAATGAAGCAAGAGGCACTCCAGTCGGTACAGACACCGTTGATTGCTGGCTAAACAATCCATTACAATCATCATTGCATGGCACGGCGCAATGTGTTGGCGTTCCGGCGTTCAAAAGATCTGTTTGACGATATGATAGTATACCACTGGTCGGCACATAGCTATACAGACTCTGTGCAACTGTTAGAATATACGTTTGCTTTCTATGAATCACCACGACATTGCCTTGATCATATTGTTTTTTTGCGTGGAGTAAAAGCTATGGAGAGCTATGACCATGTCCGGCTGTACCTGCCTCGGCTTGATGCCAACGTCATACAACGCCGCGTAGATCAATGCGCGTCTCATATGCTCCCAGCTTGCGCCTCTCGAACTTCCACCTTCTACTTTCATTCCGCCATCGCCAAAATGCTGCACTTACTTCCAATTTCGACGCTCTTACTCGTGACGCAGGTGATCGCGTCACCACTCGCACGCAGCGATATCAAGCCCCTCCCACTGCTCATCTGGCACGGCTTAGGCGACAACTATGCTGCGGACGGTCTGCACAGCGTAGGCGACCTCGCAAACGAGACGAACCCCGACACATACGTATACTACATCCGGCTTGATGAAGATGCTGGAAGCGATCGAACAGCCACATTCTTGGGCAATGTTACCGAGCAGATTGCGCAGGTCTGCGACGACATCGCAGAACACGCGGTTTTGAGCAAGGCCTCAGGCCTCAACGCGCTTGGCTTTTCGCAGGGCGGTCAGTTCCTCCGTGGAATGATAGAGCGCTGTGGCGACAGAATCAAAGTCAAGAACCTGGTCACATTTGGTAGTCAACACAACGGCATCGCAAAGTATCAGCTTTGTAAAGATGGAGACTGGCTTTGCAAGGGCTACATCGGGTTGCTCAAATCCAACACCTGGGGCGCATGGGTGCAGGGGCACCTGGTGCCGGCGCAGTACTTCAAGGCCACGAACGAAACGACTGGAGAACCCACCGAAGAGTATCTCGAATCCTCCAACTTCATTGCCGACATCAACAACGAGAGGGTGCTGAAGAATGTCACCTACGCAAAGAACCTTGCAGCGCTAGACAACTTCGTCATGTACGTGTTCGAGGACGACACCACTGTCATACCGAAGGAGTCTGGCTGGTTCGCGTACACCAACACTACCAGCAACGAGGTTACGGATCTGAGGGATCGCGACATCTACAAAGAGGATTGGATTGGGCTCAAGAAGCTTGACGATAAGGGTGGTCTACACTTCAAGACGACCAAGGGCGGACACATGGATCTTGGTGATAAGGTACTGAAAGATGTCTTCAAGACCTATTTCGCACCAGAGAAGACAGTATGGGATGGTCTGGTGGATGAGGTTCAAGAGATAATGGAGTTGTAGAATGGGAAATCATAGTGCTAGCCCCACTGACGGTAACATGGGCGAGGAGTTGGGTCGAATTTACATGTACGAATACACACGCAGGTACGACGAGCGATCATAATTCCACATTTCTGTCTCAGATCGTTTACTGAGCACCACACGCTGTGTCAACTAAGCATAGGACTAAAGGGCGATCATGTATCTAGCCGTGCCTGGATTGTATTGTTGTTTGGAATATTTATGTATCATATACGGTGGACAGCTCTACGAGGTGTCTTGAGGAAGGTATTTAGGTCGAAAACAACACGAAAAAGTAAGCTATCTCGTAGCCTTCTACAGCGGGTGATCGGGATCGGACATTTTCTACACGGCGTTGGAAACAACCACACAAACCAATAATCCTACGACTAGTCCTCCAATCATGGCGCATTCTTGCACGCACCTCCCCTCCCCCGACCGGGGTTTTGCGGCAGACGTCATGTTTGGGTGGGTCATCATGAGCATCAGCCCACAGCAACACTCCACGCCGACGCCGGTCGAAACGAGTCTAGTCTTGGCCTCTCCATGCTTTAAATACTCCAAGTCTCCCCAGAAACTTCAATTGACACGTCTTGCCCATCGCGGCTCCTCTCCACTCTGAATTCCTTATTCCACGCCTGCGCTGAGCTTGACGCTCCACGAACAGCTACAGGCTTATCGATAAGCTACTAATCCGATCACGATCGTCACGGCGGAAGAGAAGAACGGCAGGAATCAAACATGTCGGTCTCAGCAGCATTGAAGAGCCGGGTCAGGAGGCCAAGTTATCTCAAGAAGATTGCGAAAGCTGAGGATTTGCTTCATCACTTTCCCAATGGAGCATACATCGGCTGGAGTGGCTTCACGGGTGTTGGATATCCAAAGTAAGCATTTTCACTTCTCTCACGCTACTTTATCGGCCAAGCTATGAGGCTCTTCGGGTACTCAAGGTAGCCCTGACTACGGTGTACGATGTCGGACCTACTTGGTAGTTCGATCTTGGATCCCGAGGTGGAACGGAAGTTTGGCAAGTGACGAAAGCCGAGCTATCTCCGGCTCCACAATTCGCGCTGCGCATGGATCAGGTCAAGACGAGTACTCAAGAGCCTTGGCCATGACTCTCGTCACACATGCCTTAATTTGAATGGTCTTGTCTATTGCGTTGGTCACAGTTGTACACTAATGGCATGGCAGGAAGATCCCTACGGCTATGGCCGACCATGTCGAGAAGAACAATCTCCAAGGTCAGCTGAAGTACAATCTCTTCGTCGGTGCATCGTCAGGTGCAGAGACTGAGAACCGATGGGCACGTCTCAACATGATCGAGCGCCGGTCGCCGCATCAAGTCGGTAAGGAGATTGCCAAGGGTATCAACAACGGCAACATCAACTTCTTCGATAAACATCTGAGTATGTTTCCCGTCGACTTGATGTACGGGTATGTACAAACGCGCAGAACTCCACTAAGAGGAAATGATGCTGATGGCGAGTAGTTTCTACACATTGAACAAGCCCCACAACAAGCTTGATGTGACCATCGTGGAAGCGTCGGCCATTACCGAGGATGGTGGAATCATTCCAGGAGCCAGTGTTGGTGCATCACCTGAATTGATCCAAATGGCGGACAAAATCATCATCGAAGTCAACACCGCAGCTCCTTCCTTCGAAGGACTACACGACATCACTATGACTGATCTGCCGCCACGCCGAAAGCCTTACCTCATCATGTCCCCAGAAGATCGCATCGGTACACCGCACATTCCTGTTGACCCGGAGAAGGTTGTGGCTATCGTAGAGAGCGACTACCCCGATCAGACCCAGCCCAACGCCGCCGAGGATGAAACCTCAAGGGCTATCGCTGCGAACTTGATTGAGTTCTTGAAGCACGAGGTCAACCATGGTCGTCTGCCAGAAAACCTCCTACCTATTCAGTCTGGTATTGGAAACATTGCCAACGCAGTTGTTGGTGGACTTGCTGTATGTTCTCCCCTTTTAGAATGATTGATGCTTCATACTGACAGACACAGTCCGGCGGCGCAAACTTCAAGAACCTCAAGGTATGGACTGAAGTCCTCCAAGACTCCTTCCTGGACCTCTTCGACTCTGGCAACCTGGATTTCGCGACGGCAACTTCGATCCGTTTCTCTCCCGACGGCTTCCACCGCTTCTACGAGAACTGGGATCGCTACGCGCCTAAGCTGCTACTCCGCTCCCAGCAAGTCTCCAACTCTCCCGAGATCATTCGACGTCTCGGTGTCATTGGCATGAACACACCTGTTGAGGTCGACATCTACGCCCACGCCAACTCAACCTGTGTCATGGGTAGCCGTATGCTCAACGGTCTCGGTGGATCCGCCGACTTCCTTCGCTCTTCCAAGTATTCCATCATGCACACCCCCTCATCGCGTCCTACGAAGACCGACCCGACTGGTGTGTCTTGCATCGTGCCCATGTGCACGCACATCGACCAGACAGAGCACGATCTCGACGTCATCGTCACGGAGCAAGGTCTCGCTGATGTTCGTGGTCTTTCACCCAAGGAGCGTGCCCGCGTCATCATCAAGAAGTGCGCACACCCCGACTACGTACCTATCTTGGAGGACTACTTCAACAAGGCGGAGTTTGAGTGCCTGAGGAAGGGCTGGGGCCATGAGCCGCATCTGCTGTGGAACAGCTTCGATATGCACAGGCATCTGAATGACCATGGTACTATGAAGCTGCCCAAATGGGACTACAAGAGTTAGAAGAGGGGCGTGTAGAGTTGGAATATAGTTTTTGGATGTAGAGAATGTACGCAATCAAGTCACTCCAGTAGTAGTCCAAATGAAACATCACAACGTGGAAAAGCAGATCAGTCAGCTCATACATGACCAATAACAACTAAAACAGCATAAGTGCTTTTTATGATACTCGACACGTTGTAGACAGAGATGCTCTTTGCTACACTTTCAACCTCACCACTGCGACCATCAACGCTTTCATCGATCCTACACGACACCTCTCTTTCAACAACGACATGTCGCGTGTTTGGCTAGCGCGACCATGTTGCACTCGGCTCGACTATAGGATGGGGCGATGATGCAGGTAGATTGCCTCTTCTGCAAGTGGTACCACGGATGCCACCTCAGACGAGAGCATGACGTGGGCGTGGATGTTTGATGCAGGTGTCGAGCCAGAAAACTCTGCTCAGACCAGGCGTTTCCGTGCATATGGCATGGACGCGCTCTTGCCGCGAAGTCGGAATCGTTCGCTCGTTGGGAAGTGGATTGCCACCGCTAGAGCTACCCGTGGACGCGTCGGCTGGCACCATGTGACTGCGCGGCTCACAAGCGGCTTCAGGCTCTTGCAGACGAGCATGCGCCCGGCTCTGCCCTCTTCCACCACACCGAGACGCGACGAAAGAGCCTCACAGCATCCCTGACATCGCCTGCCATATCCTGCGCGCCCTTTGCGAGCTGTTTCCGCGATACCCAACAAGGAACTGTTCCCGCCCGTTCGCGCGTCTTCCCGCTATCTCGCGTGCTGCGCACGAACACGGTCCACGGTGCTGCTACGACACGTCTCCGACCTAACAACTCCCACCGAGACCCGCCATTGGGACGTTTGCTGCCCTGACATCCTTACCTGCATCGATATTTTTGGCGCAGCTGCTTCCACTTTGACTGTGAATTGCACTCACAGCGCGAGTCGCTAGTTGCCTACTACCCCGCCGCCACGCCCGCGAAACCATGATGCGTAAGTCGCGTTCCCCAAGCCGACTTAATTACCCCGGTACTCACGCTGCCATTGCACCAGCAGAACACGCCCAGGCCACCCATACAGCGTCTATTGCTACTGCAAACAACGCAGAGCCCCAGGGTTCGCAGGAATCAGTCCAGTCTGCTGTGTCTGGTACTTTCTCGGCGCCGGCACTACCCTCCTCGTCGAGCAACCTTTCCACGGCCACCACTACTGAGACCGACCTCACCACCCCGTCCTCGACCAATGCAGCGAGCCAAAGTAAACCTACCGAGGCCCCAATGCCGGAATCGTCAAGTCAGAGTACTGGTGGGCAGGTGCGAGCGGCACCACGCATCGACACCGCTGCTGCCAACGCGCTCCAGACTGGTGACACAGCAGCTGGTCCCACGCCACTAGAGTCTCCAGCAAAGAGCTCCAAGAGGACTGTAGATGGATCTCTCAAGAGCGCCGGGCTAGCGCCTGAAACTCCATCGGCGCCCACCCATTCACACAAGAGGAACAAGAGCATGGACACGCACTCAGGTCGCATTGGAGAGGTGCGTAGTATAGCTCCAGACCAAGCTTACAGTCTGCTGACGCGAACGCAGCTATCCGCACAGCTCAAGACGCGTCTTTCCTACGCCATGGTCAAAGTCCAGAACGGCTGGGAGAAGCAGTCGCTCGACGAGCTGGAAGAAAGCCAGTCACAGCGTGGTTCGCCCAACTCTGCTCCTGGGAGGACTGACCATCTAGCATTCGAATCACCTGCTACCATCGATCGCCAAAGAAGACCGAGCGGCGTCTCTGACATCTCAGACCAGATGATCATGTCCCCGGCTTCTGATCCGACCCGGTCACTTGCAGGGACTCCAGCCTGTTAGTCAACCCCCAAGTTTTGCTCTGATCATGCTAACGTTTGTCAGCCTACTGGCGACCAGGTACCCGCCCTGCCATGAATGCCGCAGCAAACCTCATATCCATCACTGGCGCACAGCACGGCTATGGCCTCGCGCCAGCGCCAACCTTCCAAAGTGGGCGAAGACGACGCTCCAGCGTCTCACATGTGCTCCCTCCGCTTCTCGGCGCCAGTCAAAGGAAACACTACAGCGATGTTGGAGCGGGCCCACGATCACCAGCCACTCCTCGAGCAGGCATCCTTCGCATGCCCAGCCAACAAGCCGAGAAGGACGCCGTCGACACACTCCTCTTCATGAGCAGTCCCAACAACTCGCAGCGCTTCCCAGCCGGTGGCCAACCAGCACCAAGTTCCCTTCGAGCCGAAGCACCTCAACGACGCGTCATGTTCGAAGCATACCCACCACAAGACAAACGCGCCATGTACCAGCCGTCGATGCCCGCACCGCCCCACCACCACCAACACGGACCGTACCCCGCGTATCCAGCGAGATAACGAGAGAAACTCTCAGTGAGAATCCACTCCACACCCTCTCTTCAACACTATTCTTACGGCTCGACGATCGCATTGCATGGCTGGCGTTGAGATACCCACTGCACGGATGCACACATTGTTACTGTCAGCCCACCAATCTCCACACCGAACGCACATGTTGTTCATGCCTCGGATGCTTTGGGAGGTTGTATTGATATCGCTTTGGCTCTTCTTCTTGTATGAGCTTTGCTCGATTACGCTTGTTTACTTTGGCTCTCTGGCTGTGGTTGTTGTGGGCCTTGAGTGACATTTGTATGTTGAGCGGGAGGATATGTTATGAATAGGTATTATGATTGTGTAACGAATAGATGATATATGTATATTTTGATGTGTGGGTTTGTGCGGGTGATGGTGATGGTGATGGTGATATGTTGAGATGGGTCGATGGCACTGTCCTTCCAAGAGAGAGTGGGGTAGTGAGGCGATTGATATGTGGACAACGTGCAATTGTGTGCAGTATATGTATGTATCATGTAATAGAGTCGCAGCAAAGATAACTTGCATGCACATTCCAAGTTATATCTAAGTTGAAGGGCTGGCGGAATTGGTGGGCGAAATATGTCTCATATTCGGTGTGGTCTTCATTTACACATACACTTGGTCCTGCACATTAACTTGTCCCAACCACTGATCTCCACTGCGCCTTAATTACACCACACCTGGGTATCTATACTTTGCCGCTCGCGTTCGCAACCGATAGCTGGATTCCAGTCGCTATACAGCCTAACAGTCCTACCTTTGCGTTGAGCTATTTGGCTTTCATCACTTGTACATTCTTTCATCCGGGAATAGCCAGGTCCACTGTCACTCGCGTCGTTTGTGTTGTGAGTATGTCGTACAAGCAAACTAAAGAGGTGCGCTGCAGACTAAATTAATGAAAGTCCAGCCGATGGCAGAAGCTTAATGCAAGTAGACTTCTGGGAGGCATGTTCTTGACTTATCTCTCGAACAGGATGCAGTAGTCGTACATATCTTATAGGCTGTTGTCCAATTTCAGGCATAGGTACTGCTACGTAACTGTCTTGACAGCGCAAATTGCGTAGACTCTGGCATACTGTTTCGAAAATTACATGCGAATCAAGGTCGCGTTATATCGACACTCCTCTTTGGTGTGGCGTAGGATGTTCGATTAATCCACAGTATCTAATTTACTCTTTGCTATATCTTCTCTTCATGACACTATCCACTTGTGTACTGTCCCTGTTGTTTGACGCGTCGTAGTCTATATGTGCATCACATTGTTCGTGAACTTGAGCCTGTAGCCTGCATTTACTGGTTCCAATTTGCAGACTACGTATTCGTGAATATTGGGGGGCATCAGCGAATTGAAAAGGTTTACCGACGACATGGTCTTTCTCATAACAGGGAGATTGCGCCCTATGACAATGTCATTTCCATAGTCAAACTTACACGACGTCTCACTGAACATTGACGCATTTATCTCCCTAATGTTTATGCAAAAGCCAGTCAGGTTGAACGAGCTTGTGATTAGCATGACTAATTGGGCGTCATGTATTTGAGTAAGAATGGAATCCAGCCGCCCAACGAGCCCAAGGATCATAGGGTACATGTTAGAGAGAAAAAAGTTTTATCTTCTAGTTAATACACACAGAAGAGGGCCTCGTTAGATAATTTTTTTGCCCTGGAAGTTTTAGTTGGGTGGATGATTTATCGTGTTTGGTCAAAAACGTGTTTACCACCATCATCACGTCAATCCCTCTTTTTGAGTATTATATTGGACAAAAAAATTCCAAAATGAAAGCTTGATTTTGAGGTACAGCTTGGTGTGCTGTTGTAGTGTTCCTATTGGGCTCCGTGGCCGTTGTGGGTCGATTAGTGCGGAAGTTCAAAAATGACCTTCACGGCCACCCCTCCAGCACCTGCTATCCAAGACTACTATTGACAACAGGACAGCAAAAAGAAAGCCCGACGTGGGGGTCGAACCCACAACCTTGAGATTTGAACAATCGTGTCTGTTAGGACGTGATAACTAAGAGTCTCACGCTCTACCGATTGAGCTAGCCGGGCTGATGTTGCTTTCGATGGGAATTTGAGCACATACAGCACATCTATAGCCAGAACCAAAACCTTTGAGGTGCCCTCCAGCCTTACAGAGCCCTCTGGTACGAAGTTTGGATCGAGATGGAAAATTTTGTTTGGGCATGCGGGTCGGGACTTATCAGATTTTGCCAATATCCGAAAACCCCGCCTTTGCCAACCAGCCACCCATCCAACCGGCACACGGAGAAGACAAGCTCTTTACTTGCTCACGCTATAGTCCGGGCGCGCTATCGTAGTGTGTGCGTTTCTGTTGAACCTAGCACCACAACTACTGCAATGGTCAGAAACAATATATTTGGCTCCAAAACCTTACAAGTCGTTTGCGCATCACTGTTCTGCCTTGTAAGGCATGTTTTTGCTGCCTAGTCAAAACATGCAAGTAATATGCACGACACCGCTCCAGCGGACACCCTTGTCAATCTCGTACGGCACAGATTCTAGAAGAAGAAGAGGTATGCCTCCCGCGTTACTGCATTGCGACAAGAGACGCGTGCTGACGGTGGCGAAGTACGA